CTTCCAAATTGATGTTCCAATATCTTTTTGTCATTTAAATAGATCCCTCATTTTATATTCTGTTTAAGAAAAATATTAACGAGGAATTTTTAATTAAACTAAAAGCTTGTTCGAACGGAACCTTATACTCTATAGTCATCTATACCAAACTATACTAAGATACTAAATTGCCGATATATATAATATATACGCCCCAATAATTCTTATTTCTTATTTTTCTATTCCTAAATCAACTTGCGAAATTGAGAAAGCGTACAATATATTAATTGGCTCTTAGGAATCTTTCTAAATCCTATCAATTATGTGAAATCTTGTGGAGTTTTTTTAAAAGGAACGATTTAAAAAGTTTTCTATAAGGGAACAAAATATCTCTAACCTCCGCCTCAAATAGATTGTTTTTTTGTTTTTGGAAGGAACTTTTATGATATGATATTGTTTTGAGGGGTGGAATAATGCTCTAAATCCAGTCCCGGCCGGTATAATCCCACCCAAAACAACATTCTCTTTCAAGCCGTTCAACCAATCGATCCGCCCTACGAGAGGTGCTTTTGCTAAAACCCGAGCAGTTTCTTGAAAACTCGCTTCCGATATGAAACTTTGAGTATGGAGAGATGCTTTTGTTATTCCCAATAATACGACTCTATGATAAATAGGTTCTTCTAAAGCACACCCCATCCGTTCTGCCCGCAACAATTCAATAAGTTCTCCGGGCAAAAAAATATTAGAAATTCCATCTTCTGAAACTAAAACTTTTGATGTTATTTGACGCACAATAATTTCAATATGCCTACTATGAATCTGGACCCTCTGAGATCGATAAACTTTTTGGATCTTATGAATCAAAGAGATATGACTTTGCACTATAGTTAACTTAGCACTAATAAAAATTCCCCAATGAATTCCAATAATTCCGGTTATAAATTTGTCCCAATCCACAAACTTCCTTTGTAGATTCATTGATATGGAATCAATCGAACGCACTTCTAAGACATGTTCTACTTTTGGAAGGCCTTGTGTTATATCACCGGATCTTGAATTTTCGTAGTTTAAAGCAACTACTGTATCGCCGGCAAAAGGGGGTTTTCCATAAAGGCCATGAACAATTGCTCATGGAGGGGGGGGGGGGGGGGGGGGGGGTAAATAACGCTTAGCTGATCGTATTACTACAGAGTCAAGTTTGACAAGAATAACTTGACCCGAGTTTAGAACAAGTATTTTTTTTCTATATATACATTTTTACAAATAAGCTGTCCAAGACTTAGTCTTTTATATGTCGATGTCTAATGATTTTGGTAAAGAAAAGACCTATTTAAACTATATGCATTCAAAATCATGTTACTGCATGGATTAGAATTGTAAAATTTCATGTTTTCCGCAATAAAATAATATTTAAAATTCAATACTTGACAGGGTTGTTTGACCTTGCCGAGTTGTAAAAAATTAGTGATTAAACTCAGATTATTAGTTAATAATCGATTCAACGAATCACAATTCACAATTGGAAGGTATGTTCCTAAAGGACCCAAATAATTATTAATATCAAGGCTTGGGGGTCCTTTTTTATCGAGGCTTTTATGACGTTGTGATATTTTACACCATTAAAAAAGTCCATTCAAAAACAATTTGATGATGACAAAATGATAAAGGACTTACATTCCTTATTTTGATTCCAAAAATTATGAATATTTCCTTTTTTCGTTAAGGGTTTCGTCAATCCTTGTCTTAAAAAATGACATTTTGTGGTCCAAATTAATTCATTATTAGCAAAGAATCCTAAGTCCAATGGATCATTTCTTTTTTAGATATACGAAAGTCGTGAGTTCGAAAAGTCAATTCTTAAAAAATGATGAATCAAATTTTTTATTCTTATTTCATAAACGGATTGAAATACTTGGTTCCAATGATAAACTAAACACGCCCGAACTAATTGAAGACTTGGGTCATAATTTTCTTTAATTAGTTTGTCAGTTAGATAAAGGATATACTTTATACCCCCCCCCCCCCCCCCCCCCCCCCCCCGAAGTTGCACATTATCCCTTTCCCGCAATAAATGGGGATTAAAGAGTGTTGTCAAACTTATACCGTCTATTATTTTATATTTGATGCAAGGTTGAATCAAGACAAAATATTTTTTATTACTTGGTGTAATCAGTTGGGCATAAATCAAATTTGTAATTTTTTTCTTTTATTTTGTAATTTGGCTTTCCCGTTACAGGTGCTATCAAAACATGTTTATATTGGGATATTTTCTCTGTGCACCCAATAAAATAGATCTCGCCAGAAAATATTTTAAGTTCAATTGTTTTTTCTTTTCTATCTACCCTGACCAACCCGCTTACTTGGCTTCTTCTATTTAAGGTTATTTTTGTATCTATTCCAATGATACTATGGTTTCATACCATTATGGAAGAAGATCCAGGTAGGATATGTACTTCGTCGAAAAAAAAAGTGTTCTCCTTTCCTTTTTGGTTGAAATTCTTTTACTCGCGGATACTTAATAAAACTTTCTTTTCGAAAGATTGAATGCATTTCTAGAGTCCGGATTTAGTACTATCCAAATGATTTATTATAGAAATTTGTAATAAAAAATTGTGACCAATGTTTATTTGAAAAAGCAACCCCGAATATTTGGGACCAAAATCTATTAGTAGTAACCATTGAATAAGCTTCTTCAGATTGAGTTGGGTTAAAAGCATGAAATCTATTTGCGCCATTGCCGTCTTCAAATAAAGTATTTTCTACGGTAGCACCATGAATAGCACATAGCAAGGCAGCGCCCAGTACACCGGCAACTCCCATCATATGAAAGGGGTTCAATGTCCAATTATGAAACCCTTGAAAAAACAGGATGAATCTGAATATAGCTGCTACACCAAAACTCGGTGCAAAGAACCAACCAGACTGACCTAGTGGGATAAATCAAGAATACAGAAACAAAAACAGCAATTGGAGCAGAAAATGCGATGGCGTTATAAGGTCGCAATTGAACAGTTCGGGCAAGCTCAAATTGGCGTAACATGAAACCTATTAGTCCGAAAGCTCCATGAAGATCAACAAAAGTTCACAAACCTGCTAATGGACACCAACGAGTAAAATCTCCTTGTGCTTCAGGACCCCATTGTAACAACAAAGAATGGGCTAAACTATTAGCAGCAGTAGAAATTGTGGCAGTTAAGAAATTACACCCTTCCAAATAGGAACTAGCCAATCCATGGGTATACCATGAAGTTACAAAGGTTGTACATGTGAACCAACCACCTATAACGAAATAGGCACAAGGAAAGAGCAATAGACCAGACCATCTGACAAAAATGAAACGATCCCTACGTAACCAGTCATCCATATTATCAAATAAATCCTTGTCGTCTTTGGTAAATTTATCAAGAGCTATAGTCATGGTTATCCTCCTATTATTCATTTACGTTGACCATTTCCGAGCACCACATAACATTTTTGGGACATCTGAATATTTTCATCATTGCGCTATGATTTATCTTGCACCGCCCCTTCCCATCGATTTCGAAGATCCAATTCTTTTTGAAATATTTTAAATTTTAAATATTGTAATGATTGGTCCATAAATGGTATAAAGAAATCAATGAACTTACTTGGATTCTTCTTTTCTTTTGAGAACCTATCCTTGCATTCTGAATAGCTAATACCCATCTAATTGGATAGATCCATCAATATTTTGAAAAAAAAATGTTCTCAGACTTATTTCCTCATTTTCATTAAAATTATATAAAATATAATGATAATTAAAATTAAAATGAATTATTGCACTTTTATCTCTGTTTCTCTCGATCTAATTTGAATATCATAATAGCGACTTGAGCCATTCTTACATGAGTCAGATCCACTTTAGTTTCCTTGAATGTGATAAAAAAAATAGGATTATTTTAGGATTTCATAATTGATATATAGCTTTTTTATTTTAAATCTAAAAAAATTAAAAAAAATGCAATAATATTCATGATCGGGATAGGATATTATCCATTTATTTATTCTTAATTACATAAAAAAAGACTTAAATTAGCCTCTTAGCGGATTTGAACCAATGACTTACGCCTTACCATGGTGTTACTCTACCACTGAGTTAAAGGGGCGTATTCAATTGAGTTCCTAATATATTGATAAAATCCAGAAAATATACATCTAGAAAAAATACTCCTGTTCTCTTATATATCTCTGGATTTTAGCTAGTCTATTGATATGAAATTTCATATTATTAATTTAAATAATAATGTAGATTCGGATAAATATGAATATTTCATATTATACTTATAAGAATCTTAATTGAATTACATGGAGTAAAGAAAGACATTGGAGCCTACATTTTTTTTAATAGAACTACTACCTATTGGGCGGAGTATATTTTAAAAATTGATCCAAAAATAGGGAAATAATAAATTTCTAATTGGGGTTCTAATCAAAGATCAAAGATTGCTTAATGGGAAATCAAAAAATTGAAAAACATAAATGATTAGAAAGGGAAAGGTACGTTAGAATTTAGAATATTTAAATATTTTACATCTATTTACAATTTCAAATAAAGGTTCCTACCATCACATCATAGTCTGAGGTTGGTTGGACAAGTGGGCCCCCATCGTCTAGTGGTTTAGGACATCTCTCTTTCAAGGAGGCAGCGGGGATTCGAATTCCCTTGGGGGTAGGGTACTTTGAAAGGATGCTTATAATAGATTAATTACAAAGTTGACTATTAATTTAGTTTTTCCTGGGTCGATGCCCGAGTGGTTAATGGGGACGGACTGTAAATTCGTTGGCAATATGTCTATGCTGGTTCAAATCCAGCTCAGCCCAATCATTCGCAAATCCGAATAAGAAAACAGAACCTGAACTTTAAAAATACCTCAGAACTATACTGATAGATACGTCAAAAAAAAAAATTGACTGTATTCCTTATTGCTGGGGATTGTAGTTCAATTGGTCAGAGCACCGCCCTGTCAAGGCGGAAGCTGCGGGTTCGAGCCCCGTCAGTCCCGATGTATCCAAAAGTTTTATATGGGATTAAATCCCAAGTTATTGCAAAGTAAAAAAAAAAACGAGATTATGGAAGTCAATATTCTTGCACTTCTTTCTAAGGCCTTATTGATTTTAGTTCCTACCGCCTTTCTACTTATCATTTACGTAAAAACCGTCAATAGAAATAATTAATTACCCAAGTAGTATTTAATCTATCTTAAAATAAACTTGTCTTCTGGATTAGATGATTAGATCATTATATTATTAGATAATCTTATCAGAACAAATTCAAAAATAAAAATTCTATTACAAATTTTTGAAGGTTTTAATTTTAATGAAAAGAACTGGCTCAAATCAGCACTAAAGCACGAGACTCATAGAATAGACTAGGCCGGATTGTGATCCCATCTAAAGTACTTTTAATCATATACTAATATGATATTTACCTAATAATTTTATATATGTACAAATTTGCTTTATTTGTACTTATGCTTTATTTTATATATGAATTTTTTGCTCTAATTTGATATGAATGAACTAGACTTGATGAGGAACGTACATAAAAAAAATTAAGCGAAAAATATCACCGGGAAGATCCCCAAACGGAGGAGGCCGGACGGGGCTCCAATCAAGAAGGGAGAGACATGAATAATCCTTTATATATTTTAAAATGAGAAAAACACTTTTGACACGAAAGCCGAGAAAAATAAAAATTGGTAGCGTTTGATAAATAAAAACACTTTTTATTTGAAATTGAACTTGCAATTTCTCCCCCTTCCCTTCCTCTCACGCACATCCTTCCAAATTAGGAACATCCTAGAAACATACTACATCGTTGTTGTAGCGTGTTTCTCTTCGTGTGGGTGATAATAAGGATAGATGGTGTAAATGGTCTGAGCCACGGTGAGAGCAAGCAGAACAAGGGCAGCTAACAGAGACAGAGCGGTCCAGGGAGAGCGGAAGTAGGTGTTCCTCACCTCGACCCAGTAAACGTGGAATTTGTTGTCGTATTGGCGGTAGTGCTTCGCCACTCGAACATACACTCCTATCAAGTAGCTTTCGGCGACATTGCAGGCCGCCGCGTTCCCCAGCCGGATGACAAAATCCGCTACCTCACGCTGCGTCGCAAAGTGGTGGCGCAAGATCTTGGCCTCGCACAAGAGATCCACGTCCTCGTGCGTGTCTATGAGGCAGTCCAGGAACTTCGCGTACTCCGACATGCGCCTGTCTTTCCCCTTGTGGCACTGCTCGAACGCCACGCAGTTCAACAAGAAGGCGCACATCGTGTCATCCAGCTCCAGCGGCGGCATCCAGATCACTCCCCGCTTGTATTCCACTTGCAGGAAAGTATAGTGTTTCCTCAGCTTCACATCGATTCCAACTCGCCGCAGCTTCGAGACGCTCCGGATATTCCTTGCATTGGGAGTCTTCTGGGAACTGCGCGTAACTGGCAGCACATTTTCTGCTCCACTCGGTCTCTTTTCCGAAGCTGGACCCTTTGGGAAATAACTTTTCCGGACTAGATCAAGAAGATGAAGCCCTTCAAAGTCCCAACCCAAAGGATCGCCGATCTTTTCCGGTTCTCTTCCGACTTCATCAGATATTGTGAATAAGTGGAGGGCCGTGACGAACAGAGTAGGGCGGCTCCCGCTGGGCAACCTATCGCTGACCATTTCAGTAAGCTCGAACAATTTCTGGAGCACGATATATGGTATTTGGTTCTCGAGGCAGAGAAAGTCGTCGCGGAGACGGAAACGCATCCATTGCATTGATCCAAAGAGGTCGTCTTTGTCAAAGGGAACCACATTGCTGAATGCCCGAAGTATTTCAATCACAAAGACCCCATCAAGAACCAACATCTCTAAAAACTCATTAGGTTTGTCTTTGGGAGTAGGGATAGCCTCAGAATACGACTTTCTGGCCTGTTCTTCTACTCTCTTGACCTCTTTTATGAGGCAATCCACCTGCACGCCCGTCCTGGCTATCGCTCTTGCCAAGAACCTCCACTTGTGCTTCTCCATCTCCCTCAGATGCGGCTTCCCGCGGTGGTAGGGACCGATTGAGACCGTGCGAGGTTGATACGACCGGGCGTTGACATCGGAATCAGTGAAGACCTGGGATACCCGGAAAATGCTGCAACTGGCCGATTTGGTGGTCAATTTCGGCAATACCGGCAGCTGACTTTTCATCGATTGGATGAGTTCTACATCCACTTGCACACTGCTTGTGATTTCTTCAGCCTCCTCATCGCGGGGCAGCTCTTCTGTGGAAATTCTCCCATCCATGTTTGATTCAGATTGTGGGTAATACCTCAAACTCCAAACAATTTTTGAATGGATCCGGAGCAGTAATTAACATAGAGGTGGTTCCTAGCCAGGGGTAACATCATGATCGTACTCAGTACTCTGTCCTTGTTATGCGAAATAGTTTCAGAAATTATGATATAAGTAGTACATAGTACACTCCCTTAGCTGTTTCAACGTAACTTTTGAGCTGGATTAACCTTACATTTTGTTTGTGATCGATTGAATACTTCACTTTTCTTAGCTCAATTATTTCATCGCTAGGGCCTCTCCAATGTACTTGAAAAATTTGCTTGCTGGCCAACAAGCTATATGGGCCGGGATGGTCATGAGAAATACGGAGTTCATGAAAAGCTAATTTTAAGTGCCAGTATGGAGGACTGGAGGAGTGATAATTTTATACGGAGTATTTCTATAAAAAAAACATATTTCTAATCTTTTTTTTATATAGAGTATTTCTAATCAGCGGCTAATAGGTGACAACTCTGTTACTCATTTAAAAAATGAGGTATCGTACCTACCACTCAAATGATTGGTCCAAATCATTAAATCATTTTTAATTTAGATTTAAATAATTCAACTGCAATATTTTGATTGGTTCAAGTGGACAAATGTATTGTACCTTTTGGGTACCATAGAATCTACCCGGCTAATATTGCAATGGCTCATACAGTTATACTCGTATTTGATACGGTGGAGTTTTTGTAACTGTTTAAAGATATAATTATCTCCTGTATGATTAAAACACTTTCACTTTTCCAATCTAAGACCAAACTAGTTTTTTTCTCAAAATATTACCTAAATTTTTATTATTTAATTAAAATTCGTAATTAATAAATAATCAAATTATTTCTATGGACAAATATACTCTTTATGTTATATCTATAAAACTCTAAGCTCATGCCCTTTTTCTCCAACCCTAGCAACTGAACGCAAAAGATCTCTGGCTTCCTGTGCTCCCCGCACGCCTTGCTGCCGCCGGCTCACCGTCCGCCGCCGTCCAATAGCACGGTCGCGCCACCAATCCATCTAATCGCAGGCTTCACGGCCACCCCCAATCCCTCGCAAGTTCGCTGCAGGCATCGCCAAAAATCGACCTCGCAGCACGCAACCTCCATCCCTAGACCCGCGTGTCGCTGCCGTCCCAAGCCATTGGCGTCGTCATCGTCCCGATCCCTGTTCACCAACATTGTCTCAGACCCCTCCTTGTCGCTGCCAAACCAGTCCCCTCCAAGGTCGCTGCCAACCGCACTCCAAGTCGCTGCCGCTAAGCAGCGCCCCTCCGATCCGCTGCTCCAAGAACTCAAATTCTTTAATCAAGGCGGCTGAAGTTGATGGCGAACCGAGGTTGAAGACGAACCCTTGGTTGAAGACGATATATGAAAGATAATGTGCCATGAATAATTTATATTTAATGTCATGAACATCACAAGAAGTGCAATGAGTTATGGCACAAAGTGCAATGATATGGCAAGAAGTGCAATAATGTAAAACATGCAATGACATGAAAAGAAGTGCATTAAAAATGACATGAAAAAAGTCTATAAATTCGTAGCATTTTGTGTAATATTGTGCTATAACTCCATCATGAAGTGCATTATATTTAACTAGATCTAAAAACTAAAGTTATGAAGTACAGTGAATATCATAACATTTTTGTTATGTACAGTGAATATCGTCATAAAGTGCAATAAATGTAGTGCAATGACCACTTCATAAATCGCATTATTTTTACTCGGACGAAATTAGTGTAAAATGCATATTTTTAAAAAAGGGTATTTTTGTCCTTCCATAATTTAATATAACGAAAATATCTTTTTTTTTTCAATTTTTGGTCATATTTCGGGGAAAAAACATAAGTACTCACATTTCGAGAAACTCACTTTGTTTTAGTCATATCCCTGGAATTTTTTCCAAGAAAGGAGAAGGAAGTTTGGGGAAGAAAAAGGGGAGGAAAAGTGTGTTGATTGAGGTAATGACCTTATAGTCTTATACTAGTTTTTCCTTTATTCATTAACAACCATATGGCTTGCATAGCATATGAGGAACCCTTATAGTAGCTCTACATTCTTAAAAATGTAGGAGGGGTTGAGAGGAAGTTCCAAGACCAAGAACGGACATAGGAGCCAAAATAACCGGTTCACCGGAAAATAACCTTTTAGAGGTTATTCGTATTGATTAAGGTTTTAGGATGTTAAAACCTTGTTAGGAACTTGATTAAAGTATTTTTGAGCTTCGCCGGAGTTGGTCAAAGTTTGCCGGAGTTGGTCAAAGTTCGCCGGAATTAGTCAGAGTCAAATCGGGAAGCGTTGAACGCGCTTAAGCTCACTTAAGGTGAGGATGACTGACTATATTGCTTATAATTATTGGGTTAATTTCATAAGATTACCTAAATGAATAAAATGTGTTTGACATGGTTTATAATGATTAAAAGATGCCTAAGTGAGATTATTATTGTTTATAAGCAAAATGCATAATATACAAATTTATGAACAAATTGTGTATGATTATGTGTTATGAATACAATGGCATGATAGTTATATTAACCATAAACTCATTGTGATAAATATACTTTTACCTCATGTAAGGAAGTCATGGAAGGATAAAAGGGATATTTTGATATTAGGGCCAAATTATACTTGAATGTGAAATTAAATTGAAATATACGAATTATTATGAATTAGCATTGGCTATATTAAGATTAGGGAAAAGGTGCAAATAGGCCCGTGTACTAACCAAAAAAGGTCAAATAAGCCCTTATTTAGGAGGCTCTGTCCGGCCGTCATCATTTGGGGTGGTTCCCGGTGGAATTTTTTGATGAATTTTTTTTATCATCTTATTCATCAAGTCTAGTTTACTCATACCAAATTTCAGCTAAAACTTTAATCGAGAATGCATTCAAATGAATTCTTGAAGGTAACTGCGCTTCTAACTGTGCAGTGATTTTCAAGAATTCATTTGAATGCATTCCCGATCGAAGTTTTAGCTGAAATTTGGTATGAGTAAACTAGACTTGAAGAATAAGATGCTCAAAAAATTTCATCAAAAAATTCCACAGGGAACCACCCCAAATGACGACGGCCGGACAGAGCCTCCTAAATGAGGGCTTATTTGACCTTTTTTGGTTAGTACATGGGCCTATTTGCACCTTTTCCCTTAAGATTAAACGTCTAGTATAGAGATACTAGTCGGAAATGTTAATTCAAGGGTTCTTGGGAGCTAATCCCAAGACATCGAATTGTGGTGGCGCGCCTTAAGTATCCTTAAAAGGAATTTTTAAGATGGACTTTATGAATTCAAGTTACATTAGGAGTAGGCCTTAAGGGTTACTCAGAATGGATGGAGCCTAGACTAAGAAGTTGTTTAGGGATTAGATGACGTGACTATGAGCCGAGCTCTAGCACGTGGTAGTATGACTATGAGCCGAGCTCTAGCAAAATGTAGTATGACTATGAGCCGAGCTCTAGCAAAATGTAGTGTGACTATGAGCCGAGCTCTAGCACAAATTAGTATGACTATGAGCCGAGCTCTAGCAATATGTAGTGTGACTATGAGCCGAGCTTTAACACAAATTAGTATGACTATGAGCCGAACTCTAGCATGAAGGAATGTGAATTAATTACAAAATAATAACATCCTAGATTGAGGGTCTTAGCTTGGAAATTGAAACTTTGATTATACTTAGTATAGTTGTCATTGTACTTGTCAAATGCTTCCAAATACTGACCTCCCCTTCACGGAGGAGGCCACCTCACAGTTTCAGGTAGAACTTGAAGGTTGCTACCATCGTCGCTGCTTTGAGAGTGTTCAAGGAGGGGAGACGTGGTTCGTGCTTCCACCGTTCTTATTTCACAAACCTTTTAATTAATGCTCATGGATATTATTTCTAAATATTTATTTCGGGGCTTGTATGCCCATTGATGGAGTATTAATTCTAGAGAGAAGTGAGAGCTAGAGAGAGAAAGTGAGTAATTATATTTCTCAACTTGCAATCCCCTATAATTAGCCCCTTGGGGTCTATTTATAGGTAAAAATGTGGATTTGGGCCCCTAGCCTTGGGCTTAGGAGGCCCGTTACAATAATCATGCCTTCTTTGGGCAAATAAGGCCACTAATGGGCTGAGTACAACACTTAGTACATAAAATAGGAAAATACATTCTGTCCGGGCGAAGTCCGGACGATGCGGTCCATGGACGATGCGGTCCATGGACGATGCGGTCCATGGATGATGTGGGTTCTGGGCTTTGCCCAAAGAATTCGGGTGATGTCTTCTTTCTTGGACGTCGCGTGCCTCTGGCCGATGCGGGTGTCCCGCTGGTGTCTTTTGGGCCGTTGAGTATGTGGGCCATGGGGTCCAGGCCCATATACTCTATCACCCATATTTGCCAAAGTGTAGCATGAACACTTGTATTGGATAATTACGCTGCTTTAAATGAATATTTTACATTATGTTTGTTTATGGATGTACTATGTGTAAATGATATTCCAGACGCCTTGTATAGTATGGATGTGTTGGACTGCGGTTGACTATTCGTACTGTACGGCGGATTGTTGACGTGTCCGGGTAGGTCCGGGGCGTGACACCCAGAGTTGACCGATTGGGCAACTATGGGTAAGTAATATATTTTATTTGACCCGATAAAATAAAATATATTTAAAAAAGTCTGAAAAATACAACTTTCGGGACCGATTGTACATTTCGGGACAAGTTGGGATGACCTCCTGTTGGAAAACAATAAAAGGGGTCTAATATGTAATTAATTAAAATGTGTTTACCATCAGATAAATAATAAAAATAAAGTGTCTATTCATGAAATAATAAAAGTGTAGATACCAGGATAATATATTTCTTTTGGTGACGGGTCAAATTAAATATATTACACTAAAGTGATACAACGGTTATGACCCCCGATGCGTGTAAACTAAGAGATAACAGTATGAATATTGTAACGAAAAATGGCCTAATGAATTATTCTAAATAATATCATTATTATATTAATAATTAAGGAATTATTATTAGAATTGAAGGGGCCAACCGTTACAATATTGAACTAGCTAGTCCTATATATATCCCATCTATTATAGGATTAGGACATCTCTCATAAGCTACATAGCATTGGAAGGTTTAGCCTACTAGCTTTCTTGGATTCTTGGGTCTTCTTAAAGTGTTAATGCAAATGAATTCTCAAGGTACGGTTCTTATCTTAGTTCATACATATTTGATTTCATGGATTTATATGGATTTAGTTATTATATATTTATATATATATTGCATACGGAGTTTTGTTGATATATATATGAATATCCTTCAATTGGTATCAGAACCTACCATAATAGATCCATGGAATTCTTTTCCTTAATCGACATATGTATATGTGTTCATCGACATACTTGGGGTTTTGTTTGATGATTCCCGAAGCTTTTATTTATTTGTTTGTTAAATATGCATTTTTTTTAATGGACGGTTACATATGCCTACAGCCTACAATTGTCGATTCATGATGTTTTATTCATCATTATTATATATTAAATTACTTCATGTTTCTGGCATGGATTTTATATTCCGTATGTCTTTGCATGGATTTAATACTCTGGTGGTAAATCGTCATTCTTCCGCTGCATGTGTTGATGTGTATTCATACGGATTCAAACTATTATTGAATTCTCA